GCAAGTAGGGACTAATGCTCAAAATTTCTTATAGAATAATCTCTGGTGGGTCATTTCAGTCTTTAGAACCTTAACGTGTGGAAGCTGTCAGGCCACAGGTACAACTGTATTGAAAATGCATTTAACATGACTTTACTGAAAAGATAATTAAATTTATGTCATACGATTAATCCAGTATTTTACTTCCTTAGAGATTTTAATTAAAATAGAATTCACTTCTCTCTCTGTCTCTCTAGTCAGTACTTTTCTGGCAGTAATGTACAACCTAGTTCTGTTGAACAAAAGAAAGGGAAATTCCCAATCTGGCCAGAGTGGAGTGAAGCTGACATAAACGCAGAAAAGTGGGACGCGGGGAAAGCTGCAAAAGAAAAGGACAAAACAGGCAAAAGCCCTGTATTTGTAAGTAATCTTGAATGTGACTAAATTTTTGTTGGGTTTTCAATTTTATAATGGAATATGGTTTATTAACATGAGAGTATACTCATTCTTCTCCACAATCTCCATTCAAAAAGGAAGTTTTGTCTTTGTCCACCTGGCCTTCATCATGCCCCCCACCCCCACCCCCCGCCCCTGGTCCCCTTTGGCCTTGTATTTCCAAGCCTTAGTCCTGAGCTTTTGTAAATCTCATTTGGGGAGATGAAGGAAAGAGATATGACCAAAGAGTGAGAAAGAAATGAAGGAATTTAAGAGATAGAAGAGGTTAGCCAGTGAATTTTGGACAGAGTTGAGACTCAGGCATTTAGAGAGGATGGTTTAAAGAATGAGGAACTGAGCTGTGAACCTTTAATTGGAATGTATAGGAAAGATGATTTGTTTTAGAGATGTTACTGTGAGATAAAAATTGGATCACTCTTAATATTCCTCAAGATGCTAGGGTAAAGATCTGAGTTACTCTTTGTTTACCTTTGGTCATTTTATACATGTCCCTGAGTTTGGAGCTATGTGGGACTCCTACATTTTCAGCTTATATTATTTTAGGTTCTTTAGCCTACTTAATTTTTTTTACTCCATTTTTTAAAGATTAGTTTACTGAGGATATGAGACTGGGTTGCATTTAAAATATGACCCACTTATTTGGTGCAACAATTCATTTAACAAAAATGTTTATAGAACACAATGAAACATTAAAAACAAAATTGCTAGCATGGCTAGCTTGAACTCTGATGGCTTTATTTGCATAGAGCACTCTGAAATGGTACATATTAGCATTTGAATGTTGTTCACAAAAATAGAGAAACACACACTGTATGATTTGTATCAGTGATTTACTCACAAAAGATATTCCATAAATGTAACTAATTGCTGACTGTATTAGCGCTTGAACAATTTTCAGGTTAGCAATGTGTGAGGAAATGCATTCTTTGGGCCATACCTAGGGTGATTAGGGATACTTTCTATGCAAAGGACTTTTGAACTTTGTGGTTTCAAATGAAAATGGCCATGTCCTAACTATTTTTTATCAGAAGTCCAGACTTACAGGGATTGTGTGTGTGTGTGTGTGTGTGTATGTGTGTGTGCATAGCTTTCAGAACTTCCATCTGGAGGATAGACTATGCAAATCCTCAGCTGAGCTCCGGAAAAGACCTAGAGGTGAGTCACTCCAACATGTGGAGAAACTACAGGGAGGGGGGAAAGCGGAAGTGCCTGAAAATTTGGAAATAGGATATAAATAGGGAACTTTTTAAGGGAACTTGGAGTGCTAGCATGCCTTTATCAGGTAGATACAAGTCTTGCAGAAAGGTTGGGTATCTAATTCTGGGCTTTATCAGTATTAGTAAAACAAGGGCAAGCCTGTTGGAAGAGCATTTATTGGAGGGAAACAACTGGAGCATAGTTTGTGTGCTGGTCACTTGTTGCTCATTTCATTCTGGGGCAGCACATAGGAATCAGGCTGAATAGGTGCCAGGGGAGGTACCCTGACCCTTGGACTAAGGAGCTTTTTAAAACTTCATGATTAGTGAAGCATGCGCCCTATGCCTGCTGTGAGTATGGACTATGATCCAATGAAGTGTGACTGCAGGACCTAAGCCAGCACCCTGTTCTGCCACTGCAACTTTCACAAGATAGGAGAGCACCAGCCCAACCCTGGTTATTATAACAGCGCATGTCATAACACCAGGGATAGAATCTTGCTTTCCCCTGCCCTCTGTTCTGTTCTGCCACCTCCGCTTTCCTGGCTTAATACCTGGGGAAGCAACAGCCCCTCCACTGGAGTAAATAGTTGGACAGGGAAAGGCCAATGCTCAAGGCTTGTGATTGCATCTTTATAATATAGTGGCACAGTAGCTCTTAGTCATCATTTGCGGCATCCACATTTTATCGGGCTTGATTACCGTAGCATCTAACTATATATAGATGGTATCTTTGGAGCTTTGAAGAAGGCCATCAGGAAATCAGCTTCAGAACAATTAGCTCTTCTCTGTAAGTTCAGTCACTAATTCTACTAAGTGATGGCAGCTAAAGGATGAACTAAAGAGTGAACCAAACTGAGTGTTATGTTATGAAGTATTGCAAACTGGGTATAAGAAATACACCTAAAGCAAAATGATGTGAAAAGAGTACCATTATCAATATGAGGGGCTTAAAACCTGGAGAAAAGGGAAGAACACTGGAGTGAGCCCCACCTTCATGTTGTTTTTTCTTAAGGATATTTATTCATTCAAGGCATGGAAATTAGAGACAAGCAGAAAAGTAGTGGCCTGGGGCTCATGGCAGTCTCTGTGGGCTGCAGAAACAGAGAATAATGTCCAGGGCTGTCAAAGCAGCCAGAATTTGATGCCCAGGGAAGAATAATTGCAGAGAAGTGATCCTGAAATGTTTCACGTAATTTTCTTTTGAGACATTTTCCACCTCCTTAGCTGTGTGTGAAGGGCAAGCTGCTGAGAAAATGAGTGAAAAACAGCAGCTGAGAGGCTACAGCAGCTGAGAGGAGATTTCATGGTGCTACAGAGAGATTGGAATTTAGGAATACACCAAGGTGAAACTCTCCAGCTTTTCAGTTAGGACCCTGAGTATTCTCGATGGAGTGAAAGCAAACCAAAGTTAAACCATCCCTACCACATCCTGAGACCCAGCATTTACTGGATCGAATTGATCTTGCACTCTGCCTGCCTGCCTGAAGGAAGTGAAATCCTTTTCTCTGGAGGAAGACATTATTGTGTAGAGCCCATAAAAAAATTTATGCCTAGTGTATATCGTATAACCGAAAGTAACAGGCATGAAGAGAAACAGAACCATGTGACTGAAAACCAAGTGGAAAAATCAAGGAATAGATTCACAGGTGACTCAGATTTTCAAAGGACCAGACAGGGAACATTAAAATAAATCAATATTTGCAAGAAAAAAGAAAAAAAAAAAAACAATGTGAGGGACGTATAGTGGTATACTTCCCGGAAGTATGGTATACCCCCTGGAAACCTCAGTCTATTTTTCAGAGGTTCATTTTTAGAGCATTTTGGCTGGATATTGAGGTTTCCCTTGTCTTCATTCAAATTCCTGTACCTTAAATGTGACAATAGACTATGTGCTCTAGATAAATAAAGACACTTAGAATGTTTAATATGAGACAATGCCCTCAAATATAACCCATTTCTGAGGCCACACCAGCCTTAGGTTAAAAATATGATTACCATGAAAATCACAAAACGGTATTTATTTGCCCCTGCACCATTAACTCAGGTGAAATTTAGTTGTCCTTACATTCTGCACAGATGGTTTATATTTTTGAGCATTTTATTGTACTCCTATTCCAGCACTTTTGATATTATGTCTTTTAAGGATCTTTTTCCCACTGCCATGTGAGATCTGAGCACTTTTATGTAATAGGTACCTGAAGTCTCTCTAACCTACTAGATTACTAGCATTTGAGCACAGACATTTGGATACCATTCTTTCTCCAGTTCTCAGTGTCTGAACCATAATAGGGGCTGAAAAAATTAATGAATTGTACTCTTGGGCATTTATCTCAGAGAAATGGAAACTTATGTTTACACAAAACCTGTAATCTGTACACAAATGTCCATAGCAGATTTATTTGTCATAGTCCAAAACTGGAAACATCCCAGATGTCCTTCAACAGGTGAATGATTAAAAACAACCAACCAACCAACCTGTGGTGCTTCCGTACCATGGAACATTACGCAGTGATAACCAAGAACAAACTATTGACACATGCAACAATTGAATAAATCGCCAGGGAATTAGGGGGGGTGGGGGGAGAAGCCAATTGAAAAGATTACATACTGTGTAATTCCATTTATATAATATTATTGAAATGACAAAATTATAGGAAGAGAACCAATTAGTGGTTGTAAGGGGTTAGAAATGGTGAGGTAAGTATGGCTATGAAAGGGTAATAGGAGGGCTCCGTATGGTGATGGAACTGTTCAGTATCTTGACTTTTTCAGTGTTAACATCCTGGTTGTGATAGTGTACTATAGTTTTCCTTTGGGGAAACTAGGTAGAGGGTACATAGGGGCTCTCTATTATTTCTTAACAATGCATATGCAAATCTATAATTATCTCAAAAAGTTTAATTAAAAATTAAGTAATGAAAATCAGGTCAAAGGTACAAATTTCGTTTACATTTAACCTGTTTATAATTCTAATGATTAAAAATGAAATGTTTTTAACATTTCCTCAGCTAAGGTAAAAACGTATATTTTCAGTTAACATTGTGTTCATACCTGGTCCATCCAAAATTATTTTCCCATCACACCTAATTCACATTTCAAAACAGCTCATGCTTGTTTAAACTGCCTCCTCTACAATAGAAATGCTACTCAGCAATTAAGATTTTGTTGATTAAATGGAATATTCTTAAGTACAGTATTCTGCAAGCACTGCATGATCTAGCTTTAAGAACAAACACAGAAATTGCTCTATAAATGCTTATTAATTCTATGCATTTAATTTTTGTTAAGATTGAGTTGTTTTTATTTTAATAAAACTATATAAAGAGCTCAATTTCTCTATTTTTTATATAGCATTTTTTTGAAGATCCTGAAGGCAAGATTGAATTACCACCATCCTTGAAAATTTATACCTGGAAACGTCCACAGGATATTATATTTCATCGGGTAAGAAATATTTTTAATATTATACAAAATAAATATTAACTGTGGGGATGTAGTATCCTAGTCATAAAATTTGCATTAAAAAATTAGGGTTATTTTTTTCTTTGGTATTTTGGTATTTACAGCCATGAAGCAATTACTTATTCCTACTGAATACCAAAAGAAAAAAATAACCCTGATTTTTTAATATGCAGTTAGTATTAATTTTCCAGCCCAAGAGGTTTGCACTTGAATTTCTCTATACCAAGAATACTTGAAGCATATTCCAAGAACCACTTTTATTTCTGTACCCTATTCCAAACCACCTGAATTGTTTTGACTGGGACGGTCAGAGAAACATTCATTTTAAATAGCACCTATGTACGTTAAACCTTCAGATCCACTGGTTTATCTTCCCAATAGGTATGTTAGTTTGAATGTATTTGGTGTTTCAAAGGGTGTAATTATCACTAATGCCTTTTTTCCTTGTTGAATCTCCCATTATTGTCATTCAATGCATAGAAAATCAGTAGGTTAAATTAACTCTTTCTTGCTAATCAAATGGTTGTAATGGAGCTGATTCTTTTGTACATTATGGAATTCATTGTATCTCTGTTTCTACCCAAAGTAATTTTACTCCTAAAAGTTTTAGCTTTCATAAGCATTCTACTAATGCAAGAAAATGCAATCTATATACCATATTTCCAATTACTGTTACTAGTTGAGAAAGTTGGATAAGTCTAAATTTAAAAAAATTGACTTTAAAGTGAGAAAATTAAGAAGGTGCATCTCTGCTCATCAGAGTATTCAATGCCTTTTTGAAGACATTTTAAATAAAAGAAATCAAGTATGCACGAACTGTGCCTTTAAATTACTTGTAATTTTATATAACATTGACAGGAAGAATATGAATTCAGTAATGTTAATATAGTGTGCTTAATATTAATGTATTATTAATATTCAGCTCAGCTCAGTATAAATAGAGGCCTTACTTTCATGAAAATAAAGCAGATGAATTACACAAAGTGGGGAGTTGTGAATTTAAATAAATAGAAAACTCACATAAGCCATATTTTTTAAGTATACCTACTTCTGAGAGATAAACTTGTACTAAAAATAAAATCATTCATTTTTGTTGATCACACTTCCACCTATACTTACAGTGTTGCCACCCACATCAGTACCTCTACTCTCCCTCTGTACCGATTCTTTCTCTTGATCCATCATGCTGGAATATGGACCAGAACAGAGCTGGCTAGAAACAGCCAGAACTGAAAGTCTAGCTAAGTAGAAAAGTCCTAGAATAGCATTTTTTCAAACTTTAATGACTAGATGCACAGTGATAAATACATTTTACATTGAGATTCATTAAACATGGATGTATATACAGTTGAAACAAAAAATTCACAAAACATTAGTGACCTTACTAAGTGAGATTTGGCATCCCTGGATGGCACAAACGCTTAGGTTCTCAGCTAGTAACTGAACAGTTGGCAGTTTGAATCCACCCAGAGACACATCAGAAGAAAGTCCTAGCGATCTACTTCTGAAAGATCACAGCCATTGAAAACTCTGCAGAGCACAGTTCTTTTTGTACTCTGGAATACGTGAGGTTGCCAAGAGTCAGAAATAACTGGACAGCATCTGATTTTTGGTTTGGTTATGTGAGATTTATTCTATTCTATCTGCTTCCATTTATATATATGTTTTAAAATGTAGTCCTGACCCACTGAGTTGATTTCATGACACACTAAATAATTATGACCTACAATTTAAAAAACACTGGCCAGCCTAAGAACATAACCCAGAACTCTGTAAGCAAAAGATGAAGTCAAAGGAGATGATTTACATCAGAGAGAAGCTTGGCTATTAAAGACCGAAGAGGCCTGGATTTAAGAGCTCAGAGTCAACAGGGGTCATTCCAACCCAGGTTAATAAGCTCTGGTCACAGAGTGAATGATCAGATCTGTTTATTATTGAGAACTGGATATTGGCAGCTCAGGCCCTTGAGCACTGATTATATTGAAGATTTATCCTGCCCTAGGTAGAGGTGTAGGGGACAGAGATAACTAAAACATCATTGAAGAGAGCACTGCATTAATATTTGACATCTTTTACAATCAATCCCTACTTTTCCTTATTCAACAGGTGACTACTATGCCTACCGCTACAGTCTTTAGGTATTCAATATCTATTTAATGTGTGACTAATCTGTTTTCTCGAACATTAGTACTTGCTCAAAGATATGGCATTTTGGAGAAAATATTATGTCTCAGTGAAATCAGCATTGTGTGTGTATGTTTGCGTATAAATACTGAATTAACTTACTGTATTTATATATTATGATCGAAAGAGTCAGTTAAGGCCTTTAAGGCCTGAATTCAAGTAATCTTTTTTTTCCTCAGACATAAAAAAAATACATATTTTATTGAGTTCTCAAGATGCGTATCACGCAGATAGGAGCCCTGGTGGCGCAATGGTTAAACTCTCAGCTGCTAACCAAAAGGTTGGTGGTTTGAACCTACCCAGTGACTCTGCAGGAGAAATACCTGGCAGTTGGCGTCTGTAAAGATTACAGCCAAGAAAACCCCATGGAGCAGTTCTGCTCTCTCACATGCGGTCACTATGAGTCTGGATTGATTCCGTAGCACCCAACAATAATAATCGTGCAGATGATAGAGAGTAATTAATGGCGTTAACCTAACCTAACTCGTTATCATTGAGTCAATTCTGACTCAAAACAACCCTATAAGACAGAGTAGAACTGCCCCACAGGGTTTCCAAGGAGTGGCTAGTAGATTCAAACTGCCGACATTTTCATTAGCAGCAGAGCTCTTCCAATTCACTAATCAAAACCATTTTTATGTTAATTTGATATGTTAAGCATATAAGCTTGATACTAATGCTAGCTCTTTTTTTCTTTCTTTTTTTACTGTTACATGTCATATTTTCATTATTATTTGTATTCTCTACTACTGGTCTAAATACATAAAAGCAGTTTTAGATATGCACCAATTAAATTATGACCATGATATTAATTTTTTATTTATTTTTAATTTTTATTGTATTTTAGATGAAGGTTTACAGAACAAACTAGTTTCTCATTAAACAGTTAATACACATATTGTTTTATGACATTGGTTAACAAACCTACAACATGTCAACACTCTCCCTTTTCAACCCTGGGTTCCCTATTACCAGCTTTCCTGTCCCCTCCTGCCTTCTAGTCCTTGTTCCTGGGCTGGTGTGCCCCTTTAGTCTCGTTTTGTTTTATGGGCCTGTCTGATCTTTGGATGAAGGGGGAATCTCAGGAGTGACTTCATTACTGAGCTAAAAGGGTGTCCGGGGGCCATACTCTCAGGGTGTCTCAGGTCTCTCTCAGGCCAGTTAGTCTGGTCGTCTTTTTTGTGAGTTAGAATTTTGTTCTACATTTTTCTCCAGCTCTGTGAGGGACCCTCACTTGTGATCCCTGTCAGAGCAGTCAGTGGGGGTAGCTGGGCACCATCTAGTCTGGTGGACTCAGTCTGGTGGAGGCTGTGATAGTTGTGTTCCATTAGTACTTTGGACTAATCTTTCCCTTGTATCTTGTTTTCTTCATTCTCCCTTGCTCCCAAAGGGGTGAGACCAATGGAGTATCTTAGATGGCTGCTTACAGGCTTTTAAGACCCCAGACACTACTCACCAAGGTAGAATGTAGAACACTTTCTTTATAAACTGCGTTATGCCAGTTGAGCTAGATGTTCCCTGAGACCATGGTCTCCACAGCCCTCAGCCCAGCAGTTCAGTCCCTCAGGGAGTTTGGATGTGTCTATGGAGCTTCCATGACCTTGCCTTGTACAAGTTGTGCTGGCTTCCCCAGTATTGTGTACCGTCTTACCCTTCACCAAAGTTACCACTTATCTATTGTCTATTTAGTGTGCCCCCACCACCCCCGTAACCATCAAAGATTGTTTTTGTGTCTAAACTGTTACAGGAGTTTTTACAGTAGTGGTCTCATACAATATTTGTTCTTTTGTGACTGACTTATTTTCACTCAGCATAATGCCCTCCAAATTCATCTATGTTATGAGATGCTTCGCAGGTTCATCATTGTTCTTTATTATTGCATAATACTGCATTGTGTGTATGTACCATAGTTTGTTTCATTCATCTATTGATGGACATCTAGGTTGTTTCCATCTTTTTGCTGTTGTGAACAATGCTGCAATGAACATGGGTGTGCATGTGTCTATTCGTGTGACAGCTCTTATTTCTCTAGGATATATTCCCAGGAGTGGGATTGCTGGATCATATAGTATTTCTATTTCTAGTTTTCTAAGGAAGCACCGTATCATTTTCCCAAATGGTTGTATCATTTTGCATTCCCACCAGCAGTGCATAAGAGTTCTGATCTCCCCACAGCCTCTCCAATATTTGTTATTTCCAGTTTTTTTATATGTGCCAGTAATGCTGGGGTAATATAGTGTCTCATTGTGGTTTTGATTTGCATTTCTCTAATGGCTAGTGATGGTGAACATATCTTCATGTGTCTGTTAGCCACTTGAATGTCTTCTTTGGTGAAGTGTCTATTCATTTCCTTTGCCCATTTTTTAATTGGATTACTTGTCTTTTTGTTGTAGAGATGTTGGATTTTCTTGTAGATTTTAGAGGTTAGACCTTTGTCTGATTTGTAATGGCCAAATATTTTTTCCCAGTCTATAGGTTCTCCTTTTACTATTTTAGTGAAGTCTTTTGATGAGCATAAGTGTTTAATTTTTGGAAGATCCTAGTTATCTAGCTTTCTACTGGAGTATGTGTGTTGTTGGTTATGTTTGTATCCTGCTAATGCTGTGTATGAGGGCCTCTAGCATTGATCCCATTTTTTCTTCTATGAACTTTATAGTTTTGGGCTTTATATTTAGGTCTTTGATCTATTTTGAATTAGTTTTTGTGTATGGTGTGAGGTATGGGTCTTATTTCATTTTTTTGCAGATGGACATCCAGTTTTGTCAGCACCATTTATTAAAAAGACTGTCTTTTCTCCATTTGATGGACTTTGTGCCCTTGTTGAAGATCAGGTGACCGTAGGTGGATGGATTTACATCTGGGTTCTTGAGTCTGTTCTACTGGTCAATGTATCTGTCGTTGTACTAGTACCAGGCTGTTTTGACTACTGTAGCTGTATAGTAGGTTCTGAGGTCAGGTAGTGAAAATCCTCCTACTTTATTCTTCTGCTTTAGTAGCACTTTACTTATCCAGGACTTCTTCCCTTACCAGAAATTTAATGATTAGTTTTTCCATCTCTTTAAAGAATGTTGTTGGTATTTGGATCGGAATTGCATTGTATTTGTAAATCCATCATACTAATTTTAACACGTAAAAGGCTTTAAAGTTGGACAAGATTTTAAAAAGCTGGCACAGCTAATATTTTTCCTTGAAGATAAAGCAAGATACTTTTCCAGCTACCAGATGTTAACTAAGCTGCAGGTTTAACTTGAGTGGCTAATTTAAATTTCAAATCATTTTTTAAACTGTCAGATTTCATGTGTGTGTGCGTGCTAAGTTTATCTGCATATATTACATCTGATAATATTTTATTTGCATATTAAGCTCTATATTTTTTAGGTATCCTGTTATTAAATTTAGTTCACCTACAGCTCTAACTAATGATTATTTTATGGAATAATATGCCTATTTTTTGTTTTTGCTAATTCATCTAGTTATGAGAAATGAAATCAGGTTTGGCCTGCTTACAGCACGTGAAACTTTATTTCATTAAGTTAATTATGTTCTCTTTAAATTTCTTACGGGGTAATAACTATAATTTTTTTTTATTTTGTATTTTAGACTCCGGTAGTTGTGAAAAATGAAATCATGTTTGACTTGTTTTCAGCAAATGAACATTTACTCGGCAGTGAGGTATGTAGCGAATTGATGAACTAACCCTCATTGCAGAATGCCTTCCAGACTCGCTTAAATAATCCACAGATGCCTACTTCAGTTCTTCCTCACCCACCTTCAAATTTTTGTGGAATTGAGTGTTCTAATAGCAGACACTCAATGGGGGAAAAAACCGTCTTTACTTGAGTAAAGAGAGCTAACTTTGGGAAGATATTAGTATTACCGCTGCTCATCCCCTATCTCCTGCCCGTGGTCCCAAGGTCCCTTCTCACAATCTAGGCATTTCCCTTCAGAATCCACGTGCCTAGCAACTGATGCAGTGTTGCTGCCCCTATCGGACTACACTGTGTCCAAGAATTGGGGGTAGTGATGTTGTTTGACTTGCTGTTGTTGTTGGGTGCCGTCAGGTCACTTTTCAGCTCATAGCAACCCCATGTGGCAAATTAGAACTGCCCCATAGAGTTTTCTAGGCTGTAATCATGATGGAAGCAGATTGCCAGGCCTTCCTCCTTCAGAGCCACTGGGTGGGTTCGAACCACCAACCTTTGGGTTAACAGCTGAGTGCTTAACCATTTTGCCACCAGGGCTCCTGTAGTGGAAATCAGTGGGATGTAATTAGATTGCAATGCTCCCTCTAAACAAAAAAGCATTTCTGCACAGCAGTCCAACTTTCTATGTGTGTGGTGGTGGTGGGGAGAAGGGGTGGGCGGGGGGTGAGGGCGGTCTTCATCTCTCCACTCCTGCATCCTTCCCGTGGGGAGTCATTTCCCCACCTCCACACTCTAGGTTTTCATCCATCACAAGCAGTTCTATTCCACCTCCCTAAGGTAGTTACATTAGAACAGGGGCTTTTTGATTATTTGCTCCTAAGACTTGGTCAGAGGAGTGAGGATATGGTCATTATTGATTCAAACACTTTGTCTTTCTTGTCTTTAAAATCTTGACAGGTACTAAAATTGAAACATTTATTTATTTAACCAGGTTGCACTGATTAGTATTAAATTATCTCTGAATTGTTTTAGACTTTAGTCTAAAATATGATGAATCCTAAACATACATAGACTTAAGCTTTTAGTTTTTCAAGGGAAGAAAATTATTTTTAAAATTTTATTGTAACATATTTAGATACATAGGAAGATATCTGTTTACCTTTTTCAACTCAACTCAACTTTAAAAAATTTCCTAGGTAACTCTGTAACTCCGTTTAAGCAAAATATAATTCAATGAGGTCAGTCTCAAGTATTTAATCTCCTTACAAGTCAGGTAGCTTAAACAGGTATATTTCAGAAAAATGTAATACTACTGAGGAAGTAATAGCTTTATCGAGCATCCCCTGTGACCCAGAGATTTTTTATGCATTGTTTCTATTCTTCCCAAAATTGTTGACAAATAGCGTTTCCTACATTTTACAGATGAAAAACTGCAACTCAGAGAGATTGAAGTAACTTGCCCAAGTGCAGAAAGCTATGAAGTACCCGAAGGATAATTCAAATCCTGGTTTCAGTTTTCACTCTGAAGCCTAGCATCCCACTGTGCCTTGCTGCATCTTAAAAAACACTGAAAATGGGAGTTTTATTAGGATGTTTCTATATTGGCCTGTCAACACATGAAATTTGGAGCTTAAAATATCTGTGGTATTTTAATTCTGTCACAGGACTCATGTTTTGTCTAACTGGTCCCATTGACATGGACGAGATAGTTTCCTTCTCAAACTTCTCAACATTTACAGAGTAGCTTACTCATTTGTAAAAAATTAATTCCAAAGTAAAATCACCAGTGCTCTCAGGCACACACAGACACAGACGAAGTGGAGGAGAACCTTGTACCAGGACAAGGAGCTGCCTTCCAGAACAAACTGTAGGCAATTTGACAGTGTTTAACACTAGACATTTAGGTTGCATTTTCAGAAAACTGTATTTACTGAAAGCAAAAACAAGACTTATGATTTCATTCTGTAGATCAGAAATCAAAACATGGAATATATGACATATAGAATCTAATATTACTATTAGAAGTAGATTTTTTTACACTGACTACTTTGGCAGGAATCACAATAGAGGGTCCTGGGCTGAGCAGGAGAAAAATGTAGAACAAAATTAAAATTCACAAAAAAAAAAAAAAAGAAGACCAGACTTGCTGGTCTGACAGAGACTGGAGAAACCTTGAGAGTATGGCCCCCAGACACCCTTTTAACTCAGTACTAAAGTTACTCCCAAGGTTTACTCTTTAGCCAAAGATTAGACAAGTCTTGCTATGAGTCGCAACTGATTCAGTGGCACCTAACAACAACAACGTGGCAAATAATAACACATGTGAGGAACGTGCTTTGTAGTGCAATCATGTATATGAGACTAAGTTAGCCCAAAAGCAAAGAGGAGAAGGCAGGAAGGGACAGGAAAACTGGATGAATGGAAACAGGGAACCCAGGATGGACAAGAGGAGTATTGACACATTGTGGAGTTGGCAACCAATGTCACAAAACAATCTGTGGATTAACTGTTGAATGAGAAGCTAATTTGCTCTGTAAACTTTCCCTTAAAGCATGATTAAAAAAAATGCAAAGCTGATAAAAAATAAGTAGATTTTTTACTTCCTTCTCCCTTAAATTACAGAACATACAACTGAAAAATAACCAATTATCACTAATGGTTTTTGTCTCTAGCTGATGAGATGGATTATCAGTGAAATCTATGCAGTGTGGAAGATATTTAATGGAGGTGCTCTGAATAATTATTTTAAAGGAAATCCAAGTGAATCTCCTGTTCTCGCCTGGAAGCCTTGGGAACACATATATTCTCTATGCAAAGCTGTGAAGGGTCATATGCCTTTGTTCAATAGCTATGGGAAGTATATTGTCAAACTGTACTGGATGGTAAGTAAGTTCAAGTGCATATACATTAATATATATATGTCTTTTCCATTGAAATACATTTGTCTTATATTTTATTACCTAGACTAACACATCGTGAAGTTGCAGTATATGCAGTCTATCAACTGTGCAGGTACTGGAGGAAAAGGTCCTGCATATGTAATTAGTGATTAATAATAAACAAGTTGCTTCTCCTGTGACACTAGTCACATGTGATTTTTAAACTGGTGCTGCCTGGACCATTGCAGGGTGACCTCTCTGTGTAGATTGCTGGCTCTGCTGCTGCCTCTGCTCTCTTAGGCTGAAGAGGCCATGCTAGGAGGTGGGTGCACAGGGCTTTCTCTACCACCCTCCCTACCTCTTTTCTCTATGATGTGGCAGCTGGAGGGAATGCTTGAACATGGTGCTTCTCTCCTGGCATCTGCTGCTCAGGAAACTTCATCCATCAGTTCTTAGTCCTACATTTGAGCTTTGTTTTTATGCTAACAAACCTTACTCTGAAGCAGCAAGTTAATGTTTTTTTCTGCCTCTTGGTACAGCAGGAAAACGCACATGATTAGCTTACCAGGCACTCATTTGCCAACCAATGGATCTTGAGTGAGGATGCAGAGATGGAAGGGATATAGAGTGACCACTGGCAATGCCTAGTCAGATAGATTCTGCAATATAATTCCTGCCCAAGGTCATATTAGTCAATGCCCAAACTTGCTTAGTTCCTCCCCATTTTTGATGTTCGGTCCTCTAGTCTCACATCAAGTCATTTATGCACTTATATAATTCTGTAATTTCCTATCTTTTGCTTATTTATAAAACAAGTTATTTAAAGTTTTGTTATGAAATTAGAAACTTTTTTATATATTACAGATAGTAATATATGTTTGTATAGAGGAAGTACTTTTTAAATTTTCTTTAAACTTTGTCTTTCACCCTACTGGGGCTTATGATTTTTGTGTAGTTGATTATGTCATTATTTTTCTTTATAAAATCTAGGACTTTTTTTTATCATTTAATCTATCATACCATAATATTTAAAAAAATATTTTCTATATTTTAGTCTAGTATTTTGGTAGGTTTATTATTATTATTCTATATTTGGACCTTAATTTGTTTTATCTACTGTGAGAGATAAAGATCTAACTTATTTTTATTCCAAAAACTTAGCCAATTGTCCAGAATTATATTTTGAATGGTCTTTTTATCCCGCTGATGTTAAAAACCACTTTCATTATATGCTAAATTCCAGTTTGGACTTGTGTTTGTTTCTGGACTCTATTTTCTTCCACCCCTTTTTTTCCTATTTCAGTACCATATTATTTCAATTATTATGGCTTTATAATGTGTTTTCATATTTTTTTACAGAAAGATCCACCTAATATTCTTTTGTATCAGTGTTTTCTTGGCATATGTTTTTTTGAATAAAGATTTTCCTCATTTCTTTGAACACATATTTAGAATTATTTTTCCTTTATTCTATGTGTAAAATATTTAGTCCTCACCATTGGTTTTCTTCTACTACAGCTTGCTCTGTCTTGAATATTTTATTTTGATTCAGTTTTCAGTCAGATGGAATATACATTCCAGAATTTATATTTACTTTGAATATATACGTGGTAGAGCCCTGGTGGCACAGTGGCTTAAGAGCTTGGCTGCTAACCAAAAGGTCAGCAGTATGAGTCCACCAGCCGCTCCTTGGAAACCCTATGGGGCCGTTCTACTCTTTCCTGTAAGGTCGCTATGAGTTGGAATCAACTCAATGGCAACGAGTTATATATGTGGTATATTTTGAGTGACTGAATACATTAACTCTTTTTATCTCCTCTGTGTGTGATTATTATGTGAATGATAATCTGCTTACATACAGAATACTTGAATGATAAACAGTAGCCAATGCCTAATTAGCTTCAGGTTTTCGTGTTATACATTCTAAAGCATTTCCTTTCTACCTTATGTGAAGCTGTCATGTCTGTAGCCCAGCACACCCTCTCCTCTCTCCCTGCTTCATTTGTCTCCATACCAGTGAGTATGAAGTATCCAGAGCCCCATCTACTTAGTGTATACATAAGCATATATAAAAATATATGAGATGCTATTACATTCTAGATACTTTTTTTTCCCTAGGGCTTTTTCTTAAATATATATTTCTTATTTATATTGGCCCGACCTATAGTTCTTCATACAGTCCAGATTGCAATATTCTCCTGCTCACCCTCCTCTAACTTTTGTCCACTCTTTAAAACTGGAATTCCAGTCTTTAAAAGAGTATAACAGAATAATGATGACAACCATGATAATAAATAGATAAAAATGGTAAAAGGGCAGGACACAAGAATTTTGCTCCTTCTGAGGGTAGTATCCATGTGATACAGAAGTGGCTGTCTGATTTTCTGGTTGGTAGAAATCTGCCCTCTCTGGGCTAGGGGAGAAGTTTCTGCCTCTTTTTACCTCATTTTCAGCTGTTAGGGCTGAGTCAACACCTGTATGCATATTAGGCTTAGCAAATAATTAAATAGTTTCTGACAAGATCAACTGTATGTTTTTTTTCTTTCCTCGTCCTTTTCTAGACATACTCAATTTTAGTTTATTAATTTTTTTACTTTTCCAATTCCAAAGGTTTGACATCAACGTGATAAAAATGTATTGAGTAGCATTAAGAACAGTTCAGTATTTGTACGTTAATTTCTTGCTTTACACTGCAAAAACTTAGGATATAACCTTAAAAAATATGCTTTGTTACCATCTGTTGATCGATTCAGTAAAATACACTAGAAACATCTCTTAAACTCTCCATTTATGTTCCTTCCCCTTTCAGACCTTATATACCTTTAGTTTCTTCCTCACTGTTTTTCTTCTTCAGTTTCTGAATGCTTTCTTACCTTTTTCTTATTGGAATTTGATGTTCCTTCTCTGCCTTATTACAAATATTCTTCTCCCCCTTTCCAGTTGTCCTTTGAAGCCTTTGCCGTTATCACTTCTTTGAGCCAAATTAACCTCCTAGAACTTCTCTGCATGGCATATAGAGTTCATATTTTTACACCAGCGTATTGTTTTTGCCATAAAAGCATTCCTGTTATTTCCCATTTGGATTCTAAGTAAATAGTAGTCAAGGTTCTTTGACATCAACCTGATAAAAACATATTGCATAGCATTAAGAACAGTGCTGTAAAACAGAAAGCAGTTTTTCTATGGCGTTCATCTTTCACCTAGCAGTAATAATACTGATACCGTGACACTCAATATACAGTCTTGGCAGTAACTTTCCAATTTCAGCATTCCTTTGGCTCCCTGAGAGAAGCAATTTAGCCACTGCTCTCCTATGAGTCAGAATCGACTCGACGGCACACAGCAACTCCACTTGAAATATGTATTGCTGTTGGCAGCCTTTCTCTGCGTGTCCCCATGCTTCCATTTGTCCCTGAATAAACACAGAAAGCACACACACTGGAAGCAATACTTTCCCCTAGTTTCCAATGTTCTGCTGATCTGAAGAAATTATTGGTTTTATTTCTGATTGACTCTTGTACTTTTAAGCACAATATTATGATGGAATTCAGAGTTTCTTAAAATGTGGGCTGTAGTAGCCACCAGCATCAACACCATCTATCTTGCTCCTTAAATACGTGCTTCCCACGCCCCACCCCAGGCCTCCTGAGTCAGTCTTTAGGGTAGAGCCTACAAACCTGGATTATAAACAAATGCTCTCACACCCAGTGACATTTTAAATATTAAATTCGAAGAACAGTGTTTCTAAGAGCTATTGTATGACTAATTATTTTTCAGTCTTTTTTTTAAAATAGAAATGTTTCATTCTTATTTCCTTATTATTAAAAGTGTACATGTTTTTAGTGAAACAAATTCAAATGACACTAAAATGTTCAAAGTAGAAAATGAAAGTTCCCTCTGACTCTATTCTGCACAATCACAGTAAACCATTGATATATATCCTCTTAAGCTTTTTTCTATTCATGTAAGTATATGCAAACCTACTATATATAATTAATAGCAACAATAGGATCTTATGATACTTATCTGTAAACTATTTTGTTAAATAGTCTTGGGAATTGTTTTATACTAATACATATTGATCTACCTCATACTCCATTGTATGGATATAACAATAAATATGTGTATTTTGCTAATTCCATATTGATAGATATTTAGGTTATAATGAGTGTTTTACCAGTACAAACAATGCTGTAAGTAGCATCTTTGTGTATGTATTTCTATCCATTTGTATGACTGTTTTTCTAGGATTTATCATGTGAAATGATTCTGTTAAAGCTTTAGTAAATTCTTAATTTTGATAAAAATATCCAAATTACTCTTGTATTTTAATTTGTGTGTTTAGACTATTTACATATGATATAATTTGGTAGTCGGGGCTTAAGTCTCCCATTTTATTATTTGTTTTCTCTGTTTCCTGGTTTTTGCTTCTTTTTCCCTTTTGCTGACCCTCTGTGTGTTTCTTAACTTTCTCTAGTATTACATTTTAAATTTATCGATAGTGTTTTTTAGTATGTTTCTTTGTATGTTTTTTAGTATATCTCTTTGTATGTTTTTTAAAGTGGGTCGCTCTAGGGATTAAATATGCATATATAGTTTATCACAGTCCACTAATATCAACATTTTATCACTTCAGTTAGAATATACATATTTTATCATACATTAGGTGCCTTCATACTCTTCCCATTATATGTCTTAACTAATTCTGCTACATACATTCAGAACTTTGTACTTTTTTGCTTTTAACTTTCAAGCACAATTTAAAAAACTCAGAAGGAGAAAAATACAGTATTTACCCACGTATTTACTCTTTCCTTTGTTCTTTCGTTACTCTTTATGTTCCAAGTTTCCTTCCATTCTGATTTTTTCTCCCTGAAGAATTTCCTTTCTTTTTGAGCAAGTTTCCTGGTGACAGAACGTCTTAGCTTACTTTCATCTTAGAATGTCTTCATTTCACCCTCATTCTTGAAGGATGTTTTTAATACGGTGCTTAGTTATCTAGT